TGTGTGTGTGTGTGTGTGTGTGTGTGTGTGTGCATTCATGCCTGACTGATATATAAAGTATATAATTTTTATTACACATTAAGTATAAGTTTTCCACGTACAAAAGCTTGTATAGTGTTACATATAAAATTAAACATAAGAATTTGCAATTTAACATTCATTAGCATGATCCCCAATCAAATAAGCCAGACATAAAATTATCCAAAAAATATTTTTGTCCTGTAAATACTTCATATTACGCTCAGTCTATTGTCACCTCAGGAGGATGGTGTCAGGAGATTGATTTTACCCCTGTAGGTCATTTGTAATTGGTTAAACTGATGATGTTACAATTTTCTGGCTGGCACAATATACAACACTGCCTGGCCCCCTCCTAAATTGAGCAGACAAACACACAAACACAAAGAAGCCTGGTATATTAATTAGCCTGAGAATCAAATGCTGCTCTACAGCCATCAGTTTGTTTAAAAAAGAACACAAAAACGTATTGATCAGCCAGTAGAGACTAGTGTTTTTCAAGTCACTGGTAAATGTTTGAAACGCCACTTTAGTCTCCACACAGCACAGTGGTGTAACGGTCTCAATCTCTCTGAAATTATGTAAACCCCCAGCACTGGGATCCTACTTTGACGGTCATACGTAAATGGCCAATCAGAGTCCATACGGACTCATACACGGTCAACGGGCTGTCTGAGCCATGCGAGACTACAACTACCCCTCCTCTGCTCGTCCCACACCCAGCATACTCGCACACCTTGCAGCAGGAAGGAGAAGGGAAAAAAAGTCCGCACGGTTGACAAGGAAAATGAAAGCAGAGCACCTTGAGCAACTCAGACGGTGAAGTTCCCACATCGCGCTCCATCAGTCAGGTGTTTCCCAGCGCTGTTTTCCACGATAAAATGACCTTTACTGGTCACCTTCAGAGGGTGACCGGTCCTCACGCAAAAACAAGCGGGACATCTCGAATAGTTACAAACAAAACGCGATTCTTTTGAGTCCCGTGAGCGGCTCGCGATGTTAATTGAATTAATAGCGCGAAGATGCTGCTCGTGAGAGGATGGTGCGCCACTCGCATCCGAAACAAGCGCAATGCCCCTCCGCAAGGTGACCAGTGTGGGTACCAATGCGAGGTACACACGCTCATAGAGATGTTAGACCAAAGCAACACTACTATAAGCTAAATGTACGTGGGTTTTGTTGTTGTTGTTGTTGTTGTTTTTAACACAATGAGAATACATGATATATTTTCTATGCAGGAAAATGTCAGGACATTCTGGGAAGTCATTCAGTCCAACACAATCAAAAGGACAAGCGATGGTAAAGAGTCAACAAAACACCTCATAGACGAGAATACGTGTAATTGTGAATAATTAGCTAACTATTAGATTATTAAGGCTTCAATGCAGTAGTTTTACGTGCTTGACAGCTATCAAAATACATGACAAAGAGATCTGCATTAGAAACGTATGCAGGGACAATTTAACAGTATGACAGAGAGCGGACGTTAATGATAGCGAACTGGCAACTGTTACCATGGCAAACAAATCCTGATTGGTGTAAATATCTGATACTCACCAGGCCATGCTCCAAGGACATTGCCGTGGTTTGTGGGGAAAAGGGAATATCCTGGAGAAACACAAGAGCGGCTGGGTTCACCCAGTAGCTGTTATCGTGTCGTCCTTTATCGCCCAGGTGTTCAGCAGCGTGTTTACTACGGATGGAGATGATGGATCCTAAAATAGTGCAGTTGTTGCCTGGTTAGATGGAGGTTCCGCAGAGGAAAAAAAATAGAGATGGAGACATCGTTTTGAGATGACTGTCCCGACCAATGTATCAAAAAAGGCAAAGGTATTTGTTTGTTTTTTATGCTTCTTCTTGAGCGTGTAAATCAAAGAGGTGCTAAAGCGTGGTGATGCGGTATTTGGATTTTGTATGCAATGTGTGATGAGAGCTCCCTCGCTGAGCTGCGCGCTGAGGACCGTGGACTCAGCATCCGCGCGGGCTGCTATGCGCGCGGATGGAGAGGACGGAAAAGAGGAGGCGGGGGCGGGTGGGGGGACGCTCTCTCTCCCCACCCTCAAATCCCACCTACCCTGCTCCGTTACTGTGCGATCACGTCAGCTCATACAACATGCTACATGCGCTGAGTTCAACTTCAAACCTCCGAGTTAATGCAAGAACAGGTCGGATAGGTACGTTGGCTCATTCCACGAAACAGGTGCCATTTAGCCTATTTTTTAAAAGTAATTTATTTAAAATTTTAAATATTCTTAGACAACGAACGTCTTAAGTGCTAAGAAACTGCATTGTGCCATCTCAAGCTAAATTATGTAAATTGATGTAGGCTAACAGAAAATGGCATGCAAAAACATAAGTTTGATGGTAGCAGGGTTAACTAGTGAGCAAGGTCACTAAACTAAAAGATGTTTATTTTTACGGTTCATATTTCCATATACTGTAAATACTTTTTTTTCAATAATCAATTATGGTTAACAGGGTTAATAAACTCAATACATAAGATAAAGTGGTAACAAAAAAAGAGGAAACACTTGTCCTTGAGGAGTCACTATTGTGAGTTTATGTAATTGTACTCATTTTATTTTAATAAATAAATATACTGTCCACTAACATTTACGGGGTCATATGATGCGATTTCAATTTTTCCTTTCTCTTTGGAGTGTTACAAGCTCTTGGTGCATAAAGAAGATCTGTAAAGTTGCAAAGACTAAAGTCTCAAATCCAAAGAGATATTCTTTATAAAAGTTAAGAGTCAGCCACGCCTACCTAGGCTCGTTCTAACACGCCCCCACGTCTATGTCACTGTGTGGGAAGCTTTGCATAACGCCGCCCAAATGTTCACGCAAAGAAAGGAGGAGTAACTTTTATTCTTGCTGTAGTATTGTTGCCACCGCCGCCGTCGTGAAGGCACTGTGTGATTCGTTGTGACAGCGAAACTACTTTGTTTGGCCTTCCAAAGGAGGACGATATCCGCTTCGTCATGCCTAGAGCTGATCCGTGCTGGTTGCTGTGCTTTGCGTTGTGGATCGCCAGATCGGCTTTCACCGTGGACAAAGCGGAGTCCAGCCCGGGGTCGTCACATGTGGTTGCCACAAGCCCTCCAGATGCTCATTCGTCAAATC